GGCCCTCTGGTAATTTCAATATACATGTTGCCTCTTGCTAATATTATTAGAAAATACAGGATTAGATTGGATGACAAATAATTTTCTCCTATTAAATTCGGATAAGACAGATGTACGGTTACTTCCTCTACAGTTAAAAATGTGGGTGTTATATTAGACAGCAACTTCTCTTTTGAAAATCATATTTCACATGTTACAAAAACAGCATTCTCCATCTTAGAAACATTGCCAAGCTACGAAGCATGTTACCTGTTTCTGATGCAGAAAAGCTAGTTCATGCATTCATGACTTCAAGACTGGACTATTGTAATGCACTGCTAGGTGGTTGTCCTGCATCTTTAATAAACAAGCTACAGGTAGTCCAAAATGCAGCTGCCAGAGTCCTTACCAGGTCTAGAAAATATGATCATATTACCCCAAATTTACAATCTCTAACCTGGTTACCTATTAAGTTCTAAATACATTACAAAATATTACTATTTATAAGGTCCTAAATGGTTTAGCTCCTGCGTACCTAACTAGTCTTCTATCATGCTACAATCCATCACGCTCCCCATGGCCGCAAAACTCTGGACTTTTGATAGTACCTAGGAAGTCCACTAAAAGAGGTAGAGCTTTTTCGTATTTGGCTCCTTTATTTTATCTTTATTTTTTGCTTCTCTGTTATCCCGAGGTAACTAGGAATTACACAAGCTTCAGTCTGGATCCAACCATGACAATGAACTGAGATGACCGAACAAGAGCTGATGCCAACCCCTCCGAGGACCTCAGATGACAACAACCCTGAACCATCATACAAAACTACCAAATTTTGCTATAAGTTTGATCACAACATATAATAATTGCTGTTAATAGTGCTCACCATTTGTTTGAATACATGGCATTAACTAACTGCATGATTTTTACGGTTCATTTCTGCCATATGCACATCACCTTGACATAATCACCACTGATACGCTACTACAAAATATAATGTAGAAACTTTAATTATGTGAAGCTTGAGAAACTTGTTTGCTTGCAAAACTTTGCTTTCTCTCGCAAAAGCATTGCATTCCCCCAGGAAATTTTGTGTTCACTATCAAAAGCATTGAAATTTAATTTCTTCCCATCTCATATTACTTGCATCACCAGTTTTGCATTCTCTCACAATTTATTCACTCAAAATTTTTGTTTGCAAAGGTTCTCGGGGAGCAAAAAAAAAAACTTAAGTGAATGCAATAACACTGAAATATCATTTATTCAGTCTCATCTCATATTATTTTCTGTCACCATGTGTCCTTAGCATCTCCATAATGAACTCACCAAAAGTAGCCAAATGGCTAGACAATTGTGAATTGCTGTTGACCTAGAAACAAAGCTGTCTCTAATGAGGTATCATTTTTATGCATTCTCCCAGTGAAGAAATAGACTTGTTTACTTGAAATTATTTATGATAGACAACAGCATGATGAAAGCTGGAATTTTAATCAGCCACTTGTTTGCCAATGTGTCGTGTTCAATCAGAGAGCCACAATGCTGTCGGTTTTGAAGGCATACTTCCAAAAGCTCTCTACATTAAGTTTAAGACCTGTTTCAGATAAGAGAGACTGTTAAGAGAGACTGTCTGAGAGGTTGTCATTATAGTTGGTTGGACTCCAGGCACCTATTAGCACGTTATTGTACCTTAGCATACATTATTTGGATCGTTACTCTACTGTACATATAAACCAAACATGCATGGTAATAAAAAGGCTCATCTACATATTGATGCTAGTGGCGTTTCATTGTTAAACCATCTGACACATCTGTAAAATTGTCAGGAAGATACCCAAAAGACTATATCAGGGTATCAACAAAGACTAAAATGACAGGACTAGTGGATGTAATGTGGAGGGCGTTGTTATTAATCAGGATGTGAGCCATACTTCTGTAATTAACCCATATAGTTACCTTAAGGCACCTTAATAATCTATAAGCCTACCCTTTATTTATGTGCATAAGGGAACTATTATTATTCCATCTTGTGACAGAGATTTAATGATTTTTCATTAGGGGATTCAGCTGGTTTAATGGCTGAAGTCTGGTTTGCTGTGATGCTTCTAATGGAAAAAGCCACATAGACAGCCTCTCTCTAATGTTCTTTTCCTTGTAACACACGATTTGAATTACTGCATCACCTTCATTACTCTGAACACAATACCATGATTGTGGAATAATGCTTTGCTGCTCGTTTGCAATTTGGTTAGATCCAGTTTTAGAATCGTAACCCTCTAGGATTGTGACTTCACAATCTGAATCACAATCTGATTATACAGCTCTGTAACTTTTTTGATTCCAATGATGATAATACAATTGACAATAATACTCATCAGAGTGCGTACATCCTGACATCACAAACTTTACTTATAGATTTAAAGTTATAGATTTGCTAGAGTTGATGCATGTGGAAGATTTTGTGTATTTCCAATTTAAAGCATTTTTAAAGCTGCACTCCACAAGTTTGTGAAAAACCTGATGATTATTTTCTTCAGGATGACTTGAGAATGATCCAGAAAGCTTCAGTGGAAGAACATCTGACTGTACAAAGAGTCACATAATCAATATCACAAATTCACTTATTTGATAAGTGAACAAGAAATAGTGTTTATATCTAAGTTTAAAATTTGAATCCCATTTTCAGTATGCTCTTATTCTTTTTAACTCTACTGTATATATTTTCACTTGGTATATAATTTTTAATGTGTAGAATGAGGACGTGCCTAAAAACTTAACAGGATTCAGTTAGTAAACAAATTAGTAAGCAAATCATGTCCAAACAAGATGTACACTACTGAACACTAACAACAAAATTGAACGGAAACATTTGACTAAACGGCATGCAGGCTGTACAGACAAAATATGCCCACAAAAAATTACACATTATACAACATCTGTTAAATGATTGTGTATGGCAAGAGTAAACAATTTGTTTATTTATGGGAGCAAATATTTGTCAGCAACCTTAACAGAACTCTGGAAATGTGCTCTTTATTCATTTAAACATATGCTCATTGGTCACCTGCTCACTAGACAAATTTTTGTCTCTTAACAGGTATTTATTAGGCAGATACAAACCAAAGCAAAACATTAATTTACATTAATTAGTATATGACAGAGGCCTGGAGTCATTTCATGGTGCACTCTGATATTGAAGTGATGATATTAAAGGGATAATTCACCCAAAAATTCTCAATCAATGTGTTTTGGTAAGAAAAATGTCCATATTTAAGACTCTATAAACCTTAATCTCTAGCTTCCACTAACTGTCGTTCGCGCGTTCACGAGAGAGTCCAGTAGGACCTAGCATAGGGACCTAGGACATAACCGTAGCTTAAGCTCCAGTGAGAAGTGACGAATGAGGAAGCATAGAGGAGAGAGCAAAACAAAACACTGGTCACGAATTAGAAGTACAAAAGGACAATTTGTAAAGAAAAATGTCAGAGGATTTCGATATAAGCCAAGAAGTGACTTTGCTAAACAAAGGAAACTTTGCTAACTTTCGCTAAGCCTACGTCATCCTCTGGAACGTGACTCTCTCGTGTACGTGCAAATGACAGCAGAAGCTAGCGGTAACATTTTATAAAGTTTTAAATATGGATATTGTTCTTACAAAAAAGCATCAGTTCGCTTCAGGAGGCCTTTATTAACCTTCTATTGTACTATTGAATATTATAACCCATTCGCTGCCATTATAAAGCTTTTGAAGAGCCAGGACATTTTTAAATATAACTCCAATTGTATTCGTTTGAAAGAAGAAAGACATATACGTTACACCTAGGATGGCTGGAGGTGAGTAAATCATGGGGTAATTTTAATTTTAATTAGTGAACTATCCCTTTAATGTGAAGCAGTGGAAGTAAAACATGACATGTTCATAACAAAACAGAAGTCCACTCATAGAAACATTAGGTTTTATTTCTAACAGGAACACAGAGTATAGTACAACATTCTTTCAAACAAACATCTTTCTTTGCAGTAAAAAAATATGTAGGCATACACTGTGGCTTGTTTAGGCCCTTTTTTACATTCAACCTACATGATCCCTCTCCACAATTACAGCAGCTCTCGGTTCATCACAGTCCACAATCACCCATGTCTGCATTTGTGATCGGAGAAATGACAAACAACAAGCGCTACTCTACACTGCTCAGAACTTGCGTTTGAATCGTCAGAAAACTTACTTACAGGCTGTGAATCAGAAGCGCCAGACTGTCCTTGTAAAGTTGAAACTGCCCCACTTTATAGAAACAGCCTTTGTGCACGGCATTGTAGGCTATTCTGCAGGTTCAGGAAACAGTCCTCCATAAAATGCATTGCACACATCTGAATATTTGGGTTGAACTGTTCTGGAACAGTGTTGTAAATACAACTTAACCACTGATTTCTAGTTGTGTCCTCTTTTGGAAGGCCAAACATAGTAGTTTCGCTTTCACAACGAAACACACAGCGGGCTTGAGTGAGCGGAGTTGAGTTGCTAGAGTGAGGAACGGCCGGCGGGCTTGAAGACGGTGCGGCCAGAGGATTCGACGAAGGAGCGGCCAGCGGGCTTGCGGCAACCACATGTGAAGACCAAGGGCTGGACTCCTCTTCATCCAAGGTGAAAGCCGATCCGGCGATCCACAGCGCGAAGTTAATGTATTTCCTCAGCGACCAGCACGGATCAGCTCTAGGCATGACGAAGCGGATATCGTCCTCTATTTGGAAGGCCAAACAAAGTAGTTTCGCATTCACAACGCACAGCGTCTCCACGACATGGCGGCGGCGGCAACAACAATACTACAGCGAGAATAAAAGTTACGCCTTCTTTCTTTGCGTGAACATTTGGGCGGTGTTATGCAAATCTTCCCACACAGTGACGTAGACATGTGGGGGCGTGTTTAAACGAGGCGTTTTAGGAGGGCGTGGACAAGTCTTAACTTTTATAAAGAATATCTCTTTGGGTTTGAGACTTTATTCTTTGCAACTTTAGGGATCTTATCTATGCATGAACAGCTTGTGACACTCCAAAGAGAAAGGAAAATTTGAAATTGCATCATATGACCCCTTTAAGGCCTCAACCTGTTTTACTATTGCAGCGGAAAGGGGAAAAACAGTCTCATTCAATATCATCCCTCACCTTAGCAACGCTTCCTGACTTACTACTACCTTCTTAAAGTTACATCCAAATCCCTCATCTTCTATCCTCCAAATAACAGAGAGTTTCCACACACCATGGGTCATAAATCACAACGCAGCACACACAACCATGCACAATACCATAGCAGCAAAATTGTTGTAGGAAAGATATTGTTGTAGGAAAGTGCAGCTTTAAAAAAGTAGAACAGACATAGGAAAAATCAGAAGTGCAACAGCATGGATTTAGCACTTAATGGGCATTATTATCTCTCATGGACTCCCTCATAATGTGTCACGCTTAGTGCATTCACTAGAAAGTGACAGATAAACTGGTACTATCAAATGAGATGCAAAACTTCAATATGAAGCAATCTCATATTGTACCAGACAATTCCACACATTTTATGCAGTGCAGGTCCATCTGCTCTAAAAGGGACAATTCACTCAAAAAGGAAATTCTGTCATCATTTACTCACCCTCGTGTGGTTTTAAATCTGTCTTTTTAAACATGACTTAAATTATTGCATATTAACGTCCAGTCACATTTCAGAAGCAGGATTCCCAAAATTCAGTGACTTTAGATGGAGTAACAAAATTATTACCCTTCAAAAATAGTACACTGAAGAATCTATTTCAGAGCAAGTGCTAATTGTTCTCTTCATACAAGGCCATTTGGAAAGATATCCAAAACAATGTCATTGTATTACAGTTAATCACGGAATAACACAAAGGAAGGCATCTATGTTATGAAAATGATTGGTTTACCCCATGTCAGATATACAAAATAGTGTATGTAGTGTGCTAAAAAATTAGAAAATAACATAAACCAACATTTTTCATTCCGAGTAACTGCCATTATGGTTAACATGGTTAGTCTCAACTTTGCATAATTTCAGAGCCCAGACATCTCGTATTAAGCTAAATGTGTATTTCAAAAACATACACCAACACTGAATTCATTTGAACAGTATCAAAGACACACATGGCCAAAAGGGTTTTCTTTTGAGGACATCATTGCTCATTTTTACTCTTCAGACTTTTCAAAAGTCAATTCTGAAACCATTTGCATTTGTCCTTGTTACAGCCTTTATTTCAAGTTTATCGGGGGTCTTGAACTGTCACCAGTAAGGGGTGTTGTTCTCAATATGACCCCAACTCTGCCACTCGGGGAAGAATCCACTAGATGTTCTTGGGCTCCCGAATTGATCAAATTCCATCTCTGGCCGTTTGCCTTGATTCTTGAAATCTGTTGTCATCTTTTGGGTTACACTGGTCTGGCTGGGGTTGTTCTCTGCATGTATCAGCTTGTAATTTTTCCCATCATTATTGTCCCAGTATGTGGTATTGTGAGTTTTGTAGGATATGCAGAACTCCACCTGCTTGTGTGGGGGCACAAAACTTGGAAGGTCAATGAAAAACGAGAAGGTGTCAACGTCCTCGCATCCATAAACATTATTCATGTATGTACAAGGAATGTCAACATAGCTTTTCCATGACTCAAATGTTATTCGCACACAGACCTTTTTCTCAAAGCTTATATTGCTTACTTTGACTGTGCCAGTGAGTGATCTCTCTTGAATTATACAGTTTTCCAAGCATACCAGGTTCTTCTTTAGATGGTTCCGGAAGTGCAAATAGTCTGCAGCAGGCTGAGGGAAATCCAAAATCAAATTCTTCTCCTTCTCCGCTTTCAGGCCCACAATGGCGTCCTCCAGGTCTGATAATTCAAACTGCAGGTCTAACATGGGGTCTTCTTCAAATTCCTTGAACACATGGACTGCTGTCAGAGACATGCCTTTGGAGTCAGCAAAAACCACTTTCTTTTTAGCTTTGGTCTCGGGACTTTTCCATCCTAGGTTATCAGTGTCCACATCTGTCTTGGAGCTGATGCAGGATCTCAGAGGTTTGTATTGGTTGACTAGGCTCCTGGACTTGCAGTCCTCATATAAACTGAGGAAACTGCGAAGAGGCGGCGAGTGAGCCAGACAAATTCTCATTGCCACATCCACAGGCATAATTGGACTTGGCATTGGCCTGGGGTTCAGTATCTGTAGAACCCTGTCATGAAGACAATAATGAAGAATACTACAGTGACCAATTAAGCAGGAGACGTGAAAGACTTTCCTCGGAATTTAGAGATTAATGTGATTAACAAAACTATAGTTGCAGCCAGTTTGATCTATTTTACAGTACAATTATAGTGCCATAGCTGGTGGTTTAAGCTTTTCAAATTATAATAATGATCAGTTTTTATAAATAATATTTATACTTACATATTATATTGGGATAAATCTAAAAGCAACAAATTATAAAATATAAAATTATAAAATATCTATTCCAGTCTTTTTAGCACTTAAATTCACCATATTAGACACTACTGCATATTTCAATTGTTACTAGTATTTTTTTTCTCTTTTTTTTGTAGTACTACTATTAAGATTTTACCTATAAAGTAAGCAGTCTGTATATATGTAATGACTGGCTAGTCATTACATACATACAGTACGACAAGTAAAATTTCTATTGTAACTAGTGAAATAAGCAATATTACTGAACATTTGGGATGGATAGCAGTGTCTGAAAAATAGGAACTATTATCTAATACAAAAATAATAGTAAAGCTATAACAGAGACTAGTAACTACGGAATAAGTACCAGTTACAGATACTAGAACAGTTACTAGTAAAACTGGAATATGTAAAATAGCTTATCTAAACCACAGACCTCCATAGAATTCATTGGCAAAAAATAGCAAAATCAATGGAACTAAATATCAACCAATTTTCGCTGTTGGACTAAATAGCTGTCAAAAATTCAGTACTAGTAACATAAATAGATACTAGTAAAAAAAAAAAAAAAAAAAAAAAAAAAAAAAAAAAAAAGAGTTAAAACAGCTTGACATTGTCAATGTTCAAATAATACTTTAAACAAGCCAATATTGTTTTCAATTGAATCTAAATCATTAGTCATATTCAGAGATCATCTTTACACTTTTCCAGCACACAGTGAGCAGTGATAAACCCCCTCGATGCACTGTGACGCACTCTGTATTCTTACCTGGTGCAATTCATTGAAACCCAAGGTTTGTTTCCAAAACGGCAGACACAGTTTGCTCTGGTATAGTTTGAACAAGTACAGTTTTTTTCCCTACGTGCTTTTAAACTTCATTTAACAACGTGTCGACCACCATAACTAAAAACCCGCTGACGACCCGTCGTTTGCTGCAGCACGCCCCCTTCGCGGTCCAGCTGTACTGAAAAAGTCAAGAGCGTTCAGCCGGTATATCAAGCCTGTGAGCGCATTGGTTCACAGGAACCCATACTGACAGCCAATGGGAGAGCACGAGAGCGAGGCGCTCGAGCAATCAGTACGCAGGAAAGAATCAGTCGGGGCGCGCGTGCAGGCAGATCAGAACAGCAGTGAGCTGAGACAGAGGCGGGAGAAAACCGTCAACCAAAATTAGATAGCTCGTAGACCTCTGACGAAACTGTGACGCGTAATTTGTGGATAAGAGTAATTTCTTTTCTGCATTTATTTTTCTTTATCAATAATACAGAGGCTTGTGAGTGTGTCACTGTAAGATTTTAACTATTCAGTTATAATGAGATTGTCAGTTTGAGTCACATGTGGTCTGAGGTTACTTATGGCAACCTTAAAAACTAAACAGTTTTTTTAGTTGTGGCACAGTGGGCAGTTCATGTGTTCACATTATAAAAATAGTTCATGGAGAAGCAGGTTTGAAACCAGCCTGTGCCATGCCCCATTTCCACTCGCTCAGCCTTTAATCGGGTTTATGCTGTCCTTTAAACACTTACAGACACTTTTGTAGAATACTATTATCTAAACATGTCGAAATCTTCATAAATGGAAAAATATCAGGCCAGGGAAATGGGGGGAAAAGGTTATTGATGTATTTATTTATAGCCTAGTGAAATTGCTCTATGTGAGTGCAATCACTTTGAAATGATTAAAAAAATAATCATGCATGTCTTCATGAAAGCATGGAAGATCATTGGTCAAAATGAGTAGGAACATTTTCATAATTGCAAGATCAAGGCATTACCACAGAGTATTCATACCGATTGCAAGCTGTCATTTGTGCGTGTTAAACATTTATGAAGCTGTCATGCTCTACTGGTGTTAGTAGATGGTCAAAATGCCATATGTTGCAATGACAGCAGCCTATTGAGTAATGTGACCTACATTAGCAAGATCCATATTGCAACATTTAACAAAATGTATAATGCATTTATGATAATCACAAAACGGAGTAAAATACTTTAACCATATTTCATGATGATGATTAAGGGCACTTCTAAAACTTGTATGTAAGTTTGATATAAGTTTGATGTAAGTCATATATAATATGGTTTTAGAAGGCAATTTGTACATCTGTAGAAAATATTTATTGCATAGTGAATATTTTTTGTTATAGATAAATGTATATGCTTTGGATAAATTCAAGAGCCAGAAAAGACAAAGCATACACATATAAAGAGTAAAATGCATTGTCTAATAATAATTCTCTAATAAAATGAAATTAGAAGCAGCACCCATTTAAGCAACAAATATATTACAATAAATTTGTGAAAGTGCTTCAAATTTGGGTGCTCTGTCAGCATATTCAAAATAATATAGTTTTACCTTTTAAAAAGGTATTTTATTCCTTTTGAGACATGTCTTTGAGACGTGTCGGAAACTTCAAGCATCTATTGGTCCAATAACAACACTTGCAAAACAGGAAGCGTACGGACAGCCTGCACAATCAATGTAGCTACAGCTGGCCAACAGCACAATGATACAAAATACACTAATCAAATCACATTCTGTTTACACTGTTAATGATGATTGGTCCATGATGATGGTCAGTGAGAATCCATTTACCATATAATTTAAAACCAAGGAAAGTAGGCAGTTTAACATAAGCAGGACAATATATGTACAATGTTAGGTGTTTTATTTAACATTTGGAGTATTGGATTGAATTTCGACATATGATTATTGTTTTCACAGTGAGTGCTGTTGATTATGGATGATTTCCTGAGGTCGGTTAAACAATGCAGGGTGTGTTTGCTTGATATCAGCAGTCATGCAAACATGTATTGAAGGAAAGAGTACAGAACAAGACAGAACTTGCAAGGATTTCTTCATTTGTCTGTATGACTTTTTCCATTAAAAATTTTTTTTTACTTGCATTAATTGGACTGTGCACAGATATGATTGTTGAGTATGACACACAATTGTGTTACGGTCTAAGGTTTTTATGTGTCACTTCCTCAGTGACCTGAAGTAGACCTGACTTCGACCAGCTGAAATGTGGGCAGTTTTGCAGTGTGGCAATATTTACAGAGCTATTGCAAGAATATCAGTATTTAGAGAATCAACAAGTGGAATCAGATGAGAATGTGCTGCAGTCCATGAGCCCAAAATTTTAGACATGAAGTCTAAATGGTATTTTATGCTTATAAATGTTGGTTTTATATGATCTCGCTAATGTCAGTTCAGATTATTCACCCTTATTCATGGACAGAAGATAAGTTGGTATCTTTGAAAAAATAAAACTTCTTCAACAGTTAAAAAAGGGTATGTAAAATGGTTCTTTTTACCTCCTTATCCTCTGCCTGTTTTGTTTTAAGAGGTTTAAAAAAAATAGAACTAAAAAGCCTGTTACTACCATCTGCTGCTAGGTGGCTGTATTACCACTCACTGAAAATTCACCTAGAACACATGATGTAATGCTCAAGGTTTGTTGGCTCAAACATTCAAAGTTATAGAAGCAATATGTGTGCATATATAATATAAATATTTAAATAATATTTAATGTTTTTATGTTCTCTCTAATAAAACAGAAATCTAAAAGAGAGATACAGTCTGTAATTTTTATTATAACAATTTACATTCAAAAATACTCCATATATTCTAAAAGGGTACACATTCATAACATTTTGAACAGTACTATATGGCCATAAAGATGTTAACATGCCTTATGCTCTTTGACTATAATGTAGAATTTGTCTAATAAACTACACAGACATCATAGTCATCAGTTTGATACAAAAACTTTGACAATTACAACTAAATTATGACAGGCTGTGACCAAATACGAAATGTTATTTTACACAAGTATAAACACTGAAATTGTTTGCAAATATACAGTATGATATTTTACATCATTCCCATTTACATTTGACTAAATATACACAGCCAGCATAAGTTTAAGATATCAAAACAAGAGACTTTCACACTCGATGGTTTGCCTGGCAGAAACCAGCTTTGACACAGTGAGTAAACCTGAGTCAGTGTTTGTCCTCTCATTCAAGTGATCCTGTCCTCATCTGATGTTTTTTTTTTTTTGTGCAGCTCACTCGACAGAACTAAGGACAACCATTTGTTCCACAGAAAACAAATTATTTCAGCTATTAATGATACATTTCTTCTCGTCAATGCTACTTTCATGCAAAGTCTTATGAACAGAAATCTTCACCACTAGCGCAGTACAACACCCAGTTTCAACAAGTCAGATGGCACTTGTGTTTTGCTTTGTATTACTTCAGTCGAACAGGATGAAACGGAAACTGGCAGACAGCAGACTCAGAAAGAGGCAGAGAGGTTCATTACATGTTTTCATTACACCATATGTGAGCGTTTGAATTTAAGAAAGGAGGGAGGATCAAGATCGGACCCAGCTGACAGGCACCCACTGCGGCTCCCTCTCGAGTCGTTCCAGAATATTCCTCAGCTCTACACAGGCACTGGCAGAGTCCTCCTTTACCAGTACCCTGTCCACTAGGTGGCCATATTGCTGGTCCATCTGCTCGGCTGACTGCCTCATGTCCTGCAGGTCTTCATCCTTTTCACAAAAGGAGAGAGAAAGAGAAACAGAAAAGAAAAAAATTATTTTGTTGACTGTACAATATAAGAGTTTAATGACAGGGATTTACTAGCTGCATTTGGGTAGTATGGTGATATAAATCAGTCTTACTGTGATGTGTCCATTGTCACCCCTTCCTGGTGATGTGGGAGAGCTACGTTGCCGACGAATCTCAGGGATGCGTGGCTTTACAAAAATCACATAGGGCTTAAACTCTGCTGTATGGAGGATTTTCAGGGCCTGAGAATTAGAGTAAAAAAAATATATAAATCATAGCACTGGTTTCCAATTATGTGCTCAACAAAAATCAAGAACAGTGTCTCTACTGATGTCGTTGTAGAATCAAATCCAGATTAGGTTGAATAGAAACGTTACCATGGTGCAAGAGATCACTATTTACACATTTATATATTAGCAAACACTTATATCCAAAGTGACTTACAAATGACTATTATAAAATAATCTACCTGTAGACCTGTATGGCCATGTAAAACAAAGGGAACTATTATCAAAATATCAAAGCTATTCTTTTCAATGCAAAGAAAATGTATTATGATCACAAGTTCAGTGCAATTATTTATTTAAATTAATTATGTATTACTTCACATCACATATGACCAGAGCTCAGAATCAGAAATACAGAGAAAAGCCGATACTGACAATAATTACAATGGCAAAATGTTCTATTTACCTCAGGTTGAACATCTACTAGACACACTTTATTTCTCGCCAGGACACTCCGGATAGACTCCAGACTTGTCCCATATTGGTTATTCTTATATTCACCATATTCAATAAACCTGGGTATACACAATATATGTTTTGTGTCAATACAAACAACAGTAAAATTAAATTGATAACACTATTAAAGGGATAATTCATCCAAACATGAAAACTCTGTCATCATTTACACACCCTCGTGTTGTTCCAAACCTGTATGACTTTTTCTTCCTCAGAACACATAAGAAGAAAATTGCCATGCAGTTACAACAGATGGTAGCCAACAAATTTAAGTTTTTGGGTGAATATGCCACACAGATGTGGTATAATATTGACCAAAAGTGCACCCAACAGATATTAAAATCGTTTGATATAACATACTTATTCGATTGGATGTCAGCCTCAAAGGCTTGCTTGGAGATGAAGTTGTATTCTACACCTTCCTTCTCGTGGCTCTTCCTGGGTCTGGTTGTGTCTGTTAGAAAATGATTACACAAATTATACTAGCATTTCAGTTAATGTCACATGTGATTTTACAATACATGATATGTAATTTTAAAAATTAGAAGCTTTAACTTCAGATCTTCAATCTGAAGCAAAAGTAGGTTCTACTTTGATTCAGCTTCTTGATGTACAGTATCAGCCAGGACCTCAACAGTCACAGTCTCTAATGTTCGACTAATGGAAAGAGTAAACTCACGTGGCACAGCAACACCATATCGATGAGAATTCTCAGCAATCACCTTCTGCTTCAGCTCATTGATTCGAGCACCAAGAGATCCTTTAAAGAAAAAAAGGAGATGAGATTCTGAAGGCCAATAAAAGAATGACTAATTTAGAAAGTCCTGACATCCCTTGAATCTTACCTATCAGCACCACAAGTCTTGGTTTGTCTTGGGGTCTCATCTGATATAGTGTAACCTCTTCATATATGAGAAACTCACTCTCTGTGGACTCCGCTGGATGAGACTCTTTGGTTGAACCCTGGTGATCCTTGCGGCTCAGTCTGAAGCTTCTCCTTAGACCAGCTGTGAGAGCAGAAAGATTTTTTCCAAAAGATCAACATAGGTAAAGAACATTTAAAAATATAGAGATCAAAAATAGACATGACTAAATTAAACGAACAAAAAGATTAGACAAAAAGACAAGGATGGGACGAGGTGCATCCTCCAGACTAAAAAATATCATGTCTCTCACACTGCTGCTGATTCTATGTAACAGCTGCATCTCAGGGGAAAATAGCAACATGCTGTTCATCTGCTTTGTAAAATTTAATATGCAGTGAATACGTTAAAGCAGCAATGAATCTATTCACCTTACAAGTATGAAAGAAACATGGTACCTGAGTAAAACTCCCAGGAAAAGGCCTGACCACAGGACGGTGCCACCGCCTTACACTTTGGAGAAACTACAACTAATGTTAGACCATCACACATCCAGCATAGTTCTATAGAGACCATCACGAGCTAGCAACCATGCCAAAGCTTGTGTGAGCCATTAGCCCAAAGCAATAGTTCCCTGGCTATAGCAGTGCACCTGAGGAAAAGTTCTCCAAAAATAAGAGTTTCATACCCGCAGAAGTTCCTTGCCTGTGAAAGCCCATTTCCACTACATAAGGAAAAAATTCATACTTTGCTATTATGAGATTATATATATATATATATATATATATATTTATATAATTATGATATAAAAATAGAAATTGTGAGAGATTCAAAGTCATAACTGAGATAATAAGTCATTAATATAAATCAAAATTATGACAAAAAATGTATTTAAGTCAACATAAGTCGAAATATTTTGTCATAATTATGACTTTTTATCTCATAATTTCAACCTTGTTATATTTTCTACTTTTGTCATATTGATGATTTTTATGCCCATAATTTCAAATTATGTCATTATTATGACTTTTTATCTCATAATTTTGACTTTTTATGTCATAATTCTAACTTTTGATTTTTTCTTATGTAGTGGAAATGCGCTTCCACACCTTCTTCCATGGAACACTAAAAGATAAATGCTGGCAGTTTTCCAGTTTCTCCATAAAATGAAAGATGAATAGGAACTGGGGCTGTCAAGAAAAAAGAATGCAAATATGGTGCCAATGTGTCAGGTTTATGTGAATATAACATGACAAATCATTGAAATTTTAATATGCAGAAGTCCACATTGAGATTATATTAATCTCAATGTCTATTCCTTGCACAAATCTACTGTATGACTTCAGAATGCTTGTATATGTTAGCACAGGTCGTCATTCACTTTCATTATAAGGAAAAAAATGCTAGCATATTAGCATATAATTCAGTTTTTCTCTTTTTTTATGTTTGACAGAAGTAAGAAAGTCATACAGGCTCAACTGAACAACATGAGACTGAGTAAATTACAGAATTTTCATTTTTGGGTGAACTGTCCCTTTAAGCATCAAGTGCATCAATCTTCCTCTTAGCAAAAAGCACACACTAAAATCCACTGAGACTAAAACTCAAAGAGGGAGTTGTCCGAAGCCGGCAGCAGAGCAGTGGGCTCAAGATGTGACCAATGGCTGGGGTCTTAGGATGTGCCAAGCGCATGAGCTCTGTTCTGAAGTGCACCGAAGAACTCACAACAAAACCAGATGATATATAAAGCGCACCACACCACACAAAAAAGCATCATCCAAAGCCAAAGCCATGTGGAGTGCATTCAGTGTGTAAGGTGTCAGCTCTCACCAGGAGCACACAAGAGATGAAAGGGTACAGGCAGGAGAGGAGAATCAGTGGGGATCACACTTTACAAGGACATTTCATAGGAAAGAGTTATTGGAGAGGCCAAGAGAGCCACAACCGCAAAATAAAGCAGCAAGCACTGAGCGCAGGGATTTCAGCATCTGTACTGGGTATTCAGAGTCTCGTAGTTACAAAATTTAAGGGCTATTACATGAATATAATTAGTCACAAATACCTGAAATACCCATTTTACAGATTTATGAATTAATTTGAAAATAATTTACAAATATTTTGATTTCATTAGGTTACACTTTATTTTAAGGTGTCCTTGATACAGTACAAATAAGTACTGAGTAATATTAATTAGCAACACACATTTACTATAGGGTTTATGGTTAGTTGCGTGTACAGCCCCATTTCCTTAAAAGTTGGGACATTTGTAAAATGCAATAAAAACTAGAATCTGCATTTTGTTAATTCTTTTTAATCTTTATTTAACTGACAAAAGTTCAAAGAAAACATTTCCAATGTTTTCACTCACCAACTTAATTGTATTTTATAATATAAACAAATTATGAATTTAATGGCTGCAACATACTCCGAAAAAAGTTGGGACAGAGGCATGTTTACAACTGTTATGTCACCTTTCCTTTTAGTTACACTTTAATTGTTTCTGAACAGATGATACGTTTACGCCAATTACGCCTCAATGGTTTACCTTCACACATATGCAAGTCACCCATGCCATGGGCACTCATGTACCCCCATATGTTGGCTTTTGCACCTGTCGCTGATTAAAGTCTGGATGGTCTCTTTCATCTTTTTGCATGGAGAACGCAATGTCTGTTTTTCCCAGAAACAAGCTGAAACGTAGACTCATCTGACAACAGCACGCATTCTCACATTTCCAGAGAACTCGACAGCATCCCTGCATAGAATTGGTCTGTGACTGGTTAAGTGACAATGTTCATTTTAAAGTACTCCTGAGCCCATGTGGTTATATTTAACACATGGTTTCTCATGAAGTGACATCTGATAGTTTGAAGGTTATGCACATTGACCTTCCCTATATGGACTGAGATTCCCTAAATCTTTTCACAATATTATGTATAAAATATTAGAAATATAAAATACTAAAACCTAACTTCTTTGCAGTCTTGCACTGATATTTTTTAATGGTTTTAAAATTCTCTCATTAAAGGGACAGTTGTTCCAAACCTGTATGCATTTTATATTATATTACATTACAATATATTATATTATATTATATTATTGTAACGTTTTGGTGCTATATAAAAGCGCATGACAAATGCGTAGAGTTCCAAAAGTCTTTGAATTATAAATCCACACAGAAGAAACACAGGAGATTGCTGGAGTAAACATAGCACAACACCTAACATAAACAATAACCAGCAAGGAACAGAGGGAAACTGAGGGCTTAAATACAAAGGGAATGTAATCAAATAAAACTGAAACAGGTGTGTGGCTATTAGTAACTATAGGAACAAACTAGGAAACTCAGGAATGCAAACGGGAACAGAACAAAACTGAATATTATATTATATTATATTATATTATGAAGAATATTGGTAACCAAACAGTTGCTGGTAGCCATTGACTTGGTAATGGCTACCATCAACTGTTTGCTTACCAACATTCTTCAAAATATCGGTTTTGTGTTCTGTAAGTTTAATAAGTGGTAAGCCATGATCCATCTTTGCTTGCAAACACGGAGACCTTAGTGGATGCATTTTATACCCAATACTACTACATGATACTCTCACATATTACCAATTCAGCTGCTTTATAATCTTTTTGCTTTTATTTTGCCTATGTCCCAATACTTTTTGAATGTGTTGCAGCCACCAAAATCTAAATTTGTTTATTTTATATTAATTATAAATTATATTAACAAAATACAATTAAGTTGGTCAGTGAAAACATTCTTAGTTCTTATATTCATAGTTTTGTCAGTTAAATAAAGGTTAAAGAGAATTAACAAATCAAATTTGATTTGATTCTTGTTTTCATTGCATTTTTAAAATTTCTTTTGGAAATGGGGTAGTAATTATTCATAATTTACTGTTATTACTATACTAACTGTGTGTAACAAGGACACTATACTATAAAGTGTTACCTTTTATTTATTTAATAGGTAATTACTCCCCCTTCACCTACCTTTTTCACAAGTTTGGTCACCTGAGGTAAGCAGAATGAGGAAACAAACACAATTGCTAAAACATGAATAAGTATGAAAAGCCAATGAATATGGAATCTTGCAAGTATTGTCATTTGTGATAGGTCTGGATAAAATATGTACAGTGGAGATCAAAATTAGAGAACAATCTATAAATACTTGATTTTTTTCTGAAATATTGTTATTTTTCATGACTCAAAATTTGAAGGAATATTAGCTGTGGTATACCACTGTTCTACTAACATATTTTACAAAATAACCAGAAAATTTCAACAACAACAAAAACTAACAAAAAAAAAAACATTATTTTGTGGAAAACACAGTGATTAAAATTAGAGAACAGTAACCACTGTAGCACGATAGAAGATTACAACTAAAATTTTGGAGGGTTACAGCTGTCAGAAATTAGAAGTGTAGAGGCCCTTGGTTTGAATGACTTCAGCACATCTGCGGCCGCAGGACATCACTAGTTTCTCACACTGCGCTTGTGTGATCTTGGTCCACTCTTCTTACAGTCTCTTCCACAGTTCAGTAACTGGAGTGGGTTTCTTAACCATAACTTTGTCACCAAATATTTTCCAGAGATCGGGTTTAGATCAGGACTCTGGGCCGGCTATTTCATGATTTCATTGTTCTTAGCTTCAAGGAACTGCTTTACCCGTTTTACAGTGTGACGGGGAGCATTGTCTTGCATGAAAATTGCAGGCTGATTGGGAGATTCTGATAAATATTTGCATTCACCCTGCCATGTAGCCATATTAGAGGCCCAACTCCTGCTGCAGAATCCCACAAACCATGATACTTCCTCTTCCACTTTTCACGGACCTCTTTACGCACTTGGGGTTCAGTCTATCAACAGTCTGATGCCGAACAAAATGTTTCCCATTCGACCCAAATAAATTAAACTTGTTTGCACCACTGAAGTGAACTTTGGACCCGCTCTCCTCTGTTCACACAACAAGCTCCTCAGCAAAGGTTAGTCTAGCCTTTTGATTCTTTCTGCTGATGAGTGGCTTCGTCACTGCAGAGTGCACTTTTCAGTGTGACTTCTCTTAAACGTGGCGAGACAGACCAGCCTTTTTGGGGGACTTGAATGAATCAGTGTCATTCTAAAGCTGCAATATTCAAGGAATCACAGATTTGGAACAACCAACTTCTCTTGCGATGGCTGAAAGGGTCATCCATTTGGCCTTCATATGGACAACCTGCTGTTTCAGGGTTTCAGTCAGTTTACAGCGGCCTACCATCTTGCAATCTCAGTGAAAATTAGAGGAATGCTGCCAGTTAAATAGGGTTTGTCATATAATTAAGGAAATTAGCACCAGGTGCCAGATTAACACCAATAACTTGGAGGTATCTGTAATAATCTAATTTTGATCAGAGTTCTTTTTCAAATATCTCATTTAAGTTTTTTTATACTGTTTCAATTAATTTATAAAATATGCTTAAAAAACGGCCCTTCTACTCTTGTTAGGATAACTTCAAATAGGACTAAGCAGTGACCTTGAAATTTAGGAAATTGTAAGTTGTTCCCTAATTTTGATCTCCGCTGTACATTGGCCATCTTTGTGTGTCTCGTTCCCTACTCAGGGAACCATGGTTACATTAGTAACCTGAGACGTTAT